ATCTAAAACAGTAATTCAAAGTACAATAAGTGTTAGTATAAACATACTAATGGTCTATCACTCATACTGCGCTGTGATTGGCTACTCTACTAATGGTCTAATTTGTGATAGACCACTCGCGGGAAAATCAAAATAAATAAATTATAAATTATAACGCTCGTTCACGAGTAACCCATACAAGCTAACACGATGCCGGTCAGGGAGGAGATAGCCGATCCCTAAGTCATTTAGAGCTACTCCTTGCAAAGGGCAACCAACAATCTACGCCAAAGTGTCGATGAATTTGCTGTAGTCTATCAAGCAAACGCGGTCAAAGGGGAAAGGCCTGGGAACGAGAGTGTCAATAGCCGACTTTAGATATTTTGGTTCAGTGACCATGCACAAAAGAATTGCAGACGAGGCTCCGGGGAAATAAAGAATAAAACGATATTATACGCTCTTTGATTGGTCATTTTGAAGCGTGCACTTCAAAATAACTCTTTGCAATATTAAAAAAAATAAAATTATCAATGGATAATCTTGATTTATTCTTTATTTCCCCGGAGCCTCGTCTGCAATTCTTTTGTGCATGGTCACTGAACCAAAATATCTAAAGTCGGCTATTGAGCATTTCGAAATATTTTTTTCCGCAAATAAATTCAAGTTTTTTCCTGCATMTGAACTCTTATATCATGCACAGCAGAGAATCTCGTCTCGAGCACTTTTTTCTTTCTTTCTTTTAAAATATAATATAGTTGTTATAGTCATCTTGATTTTTTGTAGATTTTGTTAATAATTATTTTCGAGCCATTATTTTGATTTTACAGAGAATATTATATTCGAATAGCGTCGAGCTTAGGATCGCTAATCTCCATTGAAGCCTACCCGGTATTGCTGGGCTTCCTGTCCCTCACAACATATAAATCCTAAACTTTGCGCGCTACGTCATAACCGTGTTACAGTAGTGCACAGGGGTAGACATCAGAGCTTGGGGTCCGTCTATTTCCTCCCCTGCTGATTATCTGCCTAACATGGGACGGGTGACCTCACGACCACCTTCTTGCATGTCTTTTTTTTTATTTGTTATTTCTTTTTATGTTTTTCTTTTCAGTGCTATTCGGTTTTGTAACATCTTTATTTTTTTGGGGGGTAATGTCAAAAAATTTGATGGTCCGTTTGTACAACCGCTTTTTTGCTCGCAAGAGGCGAAAGTTTAGTATCATTTGTACATGGTTTCCGATCGTTTCGAAAATCATAACAAGGACTCGAAAATAATTTTAAGCAAATATCTACAGAAAAAATCAACATGACTATAACAACTATATTCAGTTAAAAAGGAAGAAAGAGAAAGAAAAACCAAGTACTCGAGACGAGATTCGAACCCACGATCCTCTGTTCGATGCCGCTGATCGAGTTTCATCTTGTTTCTATAAACATTCGAATATTTAACAAACGGCTCGTAAATACAAATAAAGGAATTACTACGATAGAAATCTAACATAACTAGAACAACTATATTTCAGTTAAAAAAAGTTATAAAGAAAGAGAAAAGAAAGAAAGAAAGAATTTTTTAGACGTGCTCAAATCGAGGTTCTCTTTTGGAAAACTTGGAACCTAAGGGTCCTTGGGATTGCTAAACTGCGAGGTGGAAAAAAAAAYGAATAAAGTCGCTGTATTTTATAATCGTGTCGCAGGCCTTTGGCCTGGACAMGGTAATAACGTTCATGATCGGAGAAGGCTTTTTTACCGCCCATACAAAAAAACTCATGACGTAATTGCCTATTATTATTTGTTGAGCCTTCGGCTATACAAGATCAGCGGTTAATCGTGAGAATGATAACAAAATGGCGACGGTGGGCGAAAAAGATCTGTTACTCGCTCCACCGCCACCGATGAATGCTGACCAAATCTTGTCAGAATATCCGTTACACTGGTATGTTTGGAATAAAGACGCATCTTCTATCGAAGAAGAACTTGCATTGGCAAGAGTAAGTATTCATTTGACTCTTTTGACAGCGAGGAAGTGTTCAGCGTTGATCAGTGACAGAATCAGCTGGTTTAGTATAATGAAATGACATTAGCTTTTAATCTTTCTATGAATATCATCTTTAGAGCGACAAAGAGAAAATAGATACTCGGGGAAGAACAGCACTCCATTTAGCTGTGACATTAGGATATCTTGACTGCASCAAAGTGCTTTTGCAAGGTGGTTGTGATGCAAAYGCCATCAACCAAGAMGGATGGAACGGTAAAGTGTGTAAAATTATCTTTAAACTTTGACAATTATACGACCGCAAAAAATTGATATTGACTGGAGCTGTTAAAACAATGGCATTCATTGAAAAATATTATATTTAAGAATCATCTCGTGTTTATTGATGTCAAAGCTTAGCAGATGTAGACTGGATATTTTTGGGTGTGTAATTGTAAGCACTATCGCATTGGAAAATTGCGAGTTAAAAAACATTATGCTAACCTAATTTAACATCCAACTAATCACTTGAGCGTACGTGGYCCGCCTGTACCTTTTTAGAACACTTTACCTTTTGTTACAATGACAATACATGTAATTGTCATTAAGAAACTATGAATACAATATTGACACTTTCATTTTTTGTGTACTTATAAATCTTCCTTAATATGAGTATGTAAAATGGCTATTCAATAACATCRATTGTTTTTTTTGTATACCTATTCRCATGAGTGGCTTATGGAAGTTGTTAACTAAAGCTGTCTACATGACTTAATTGATGTTTTCTTTTGTTTGACTGATTACAGATAATAAAGATTACACTTTTTTTATTTCATACTATTTAGTATGTTTATAAAAATCACTTGGGATCATGGTTATAATGTTTTTGCATGCATTTAGTTTTACAGGAAGCTATAAGTTCAGGAAATCCAGAAATTACATCATTGGTATTACAGTACAGAGATTACCAACGAGGAAGTCAAAGACTTGCTGGAATTCCAGAGTTACTTGAAGATTTAAGAGCAGTAAGGACTGAAATATAAAGAACTGTCACCAAATAATAATATCACTGTTCTTTCTTAGCTTGTTTGAGAAGCACATTTTTATTTTTCGTATAAATCATAATACAGCTAAGGTAGATTTTTTAGTCCTAGAAGATACAGGTATTATTTAAGGTCAGGGTCAGATCAGCTGGTGTCACTTGACATCTACCAAAAAGATCATCCTTTTTAACAATCACAAGCACTAGTCCCACTCAGTATCAGAAAAGCAAATTTCAATGCTAAGGTACAAATAAGTCTTTCCACAGTTTTTAAAATGATCCAGAAATAATTATTCCATACTCGATAAACTGCATTTGGTTTTTATTATGATCTTTTGTAAAATTTGTCCTTTAGTTTGGTGGATATACTGAAACATTTAGACCACTCTAATTTTGGACCATGATACTAAGCCTCATGGACTATCAACCCTCGATAACAACATTTTCTTTAGTGTTCATTGTTGGTCGAAAGTCAACTCGATAGTGAATACTGCTGCGGAAGGCTACTATCAGTGCATAGAGCCTGCTGCTTCACATTTTTTTTTTGTTAAATAATAAAAACAATAGAGCGTTAAAATCTTGCACATTTTTGTATGATAGCTGCCCTTGGAGACTGGATGTTCCTCAAAACTTCATAGCCACCCTCAAATTGCGTTCTCGGGCAGTTACAGTGTATTTCTTTTTTGGAACATCCAATTTCCACAGACAGCTGACACCGCATAATGCCCAGCTCGATTCACCTACTCTATTGTAAAAATAGTCCACAGGACCTTGCCATCTATTTGTAAAATAGACCAATGGACACATTTATGTTGAAGTACATTGTATTCTGTTATTGCATATGCAATTTGGTAGCAATTRTTTTCATATCGTATGAAAACATAATATTTTTTGCATATAAAAATACTTTTTGCAGTGTTTAGTTTGAAGGTCAGTATTATATAAAAAAAGATTTAATTAATATTATATGTAGACATCTACCACATTTAAAAAATGTGAAAAATATTTTGTGTATTTTTTCATTCACTTAAAGGCACCAGACTTTTATGTGGAAATGAGATGGGAGTTTACCAGCTGGGGTAAGTTGGAAATTAAAGTAAATTCAATATTGATCCTAGATATGGTTGTTATGTCTCTGGCCTCATGAATCTGTTAAATTCTCCAAATGGTATTCAGATTCATTTTGTGTGGTTATTACTGTTTCAAAAGCTGATACAAATCACCAGTATRAGCTTATACCATGACGTGATTCATGACTGATATTTAATGAATGAAAAATGGTTAAAATATTGAAGATCTTTGAACATTATRATAATCATATATTAGACTATTGAAGAGATAAAAAAAATTCTAGGAATTCCTATTTAACTATATAAACTAGTAAAAGCATTTAAAGTAGGATTATTGTAATAGCTTGGAATCAATAAAACACAACATATAATATGGCATAATAATTATTGAATGTACATGTTGAATTTTAGTTCCCTTCATGTCAAGAATGTGTCCAAGTGATACATATAAAATCTATAAAAGTGGTAAGAGAATTATTGTTTTTTTATTTTTTTCATGAGAAGATACATGTAATTCCAGTTGTTTTAGTTTTTATGCATTCATTTAAGGTGCTGCTGTAAGAGTTGACACAACACTTTTAGGATTTGACCAGAATGATTGGCAGAGAGGGAATCGAACTTATGTATTTAAAGGGGAAGGTCAGTTTTGATAATATAACAATTATAATGATTTCAATCAAATRAAGATATTTAAGTTGTTAGTAATGTGTAAAAAGAATTGCACATGACAGAACATGTAAACAAAGTCCCAATTCAAATGCAATGGTCTGGTAACGAAATTGTATTGCTATAAGGGGATTGGGGGAGGGTTAGTGTTAGAGTTAGGGTTAGGGTATTGATTGTGTACCACATAATACTATCACAATACTATTGCAATTGTTAGTCTCCTTTGAAAATTTATTGTGGATGCTATCGTCTTAAGCAAAAACTGCTCAATAGTCACGACTAGTACAATAGAAGCTCTCCTATCCATACACATGTAAATACAGACACTTTCACTTTATGCACAACTTACGTCCAGCAATGTATTYAGTATATCCTTCTCTAAGCAAGGGCCCACTATTACAAATACCAATGTCCTTGCCTGCTGCAAAAAGGGGAATCTAATTGGTGCTGGAGGTGTAGGGGGTGTGCACCCCTCCAATTTTATACCTTTTTATACTTTCCCAATTATTTACAAGTATGTCTGTATTGCTGCTGAATGCACCCCCTGACAGCTGATTGCATACCTTCCTGAAGAAAATCCTGGATCACTCCGACTACTGTGGTGTTATAAGATGGATGTTAATGGTGGTGTTTATGCACTTCTTCATATATACTTTAGGAATTATAAAAGTCATTTGTAACTTTTGTTTTCCAGAAAGTGGAGGAATGTTCTTAGAAATTGATCATGACAAAAAGAGAGTCTGGAAGGAGACTTTAAGTATTAGGTACYTTCAATATCAAATTCTTTTTCTTGTCTTAAATAACAATATTGTAGTTTTGAACTTCAAGCAGCTGTCTATGATTTTTCTGCTGACTTCATAATTGCTTAGGGGTTTGCCTCTAAAAGTTTTATTATAGGCTGCAGGCTTGGTTTCTGATTGTCTTTCGTCATGCATTACCTCCAATCAACAATTATTGTTGACCACTATTCTCTTCAATAACCTTTTTTAAATTAGCTCCACGTGTATCAAAATAGCTGAGATTTGATCCATCATCATGCTTTAGGGATGATCTTCGTGACATATCATCTACTAAACCATCAGAAGATGTGGTTTCACAGAGAATGTCGGCACCAATTGTTACAACATATCTGGATACAGACAAATTAGCATTTACAAGGTAATCTCAAAACTCAAAAGCYCAAATTTTACCCTATTATCCCTCATCCCTGATTTGCAATGCCAAATGCCTCATATTTTAACAAGTTAATCCATTCAATTTTTTTCAGACACAAAACTATGTGGGGGTGGGGTGGAGATAAGGTTGAAACTGTTGATGAATATGAATGTAAAGTATATACGGGTAGCGGGGTTGAGGTTGTTACCAAAACAAGAGTGGAACATTTAGCTGAAGATGACAAGAAACAAGTTAAAGAAGGTAATTTTCACAGCAATAATGCGCAATGTAAAATATAACCRCAATTATACCAATTTACAATATTTATTCAGTCTGCAAAATATGTGTGTGGATTATGATGTCCGATAAGATTTCATTATAGTTTACACCTATATAATATTATGAAAACGTTGTCCTGAGATTTAAGGATTTAGGAAATTAAGAATACATTAAAAGACAARGCATGAYCTCTGAAGCYAAACACTTTCTTTTGTTTTTTAATTAATTCCTAGTAAAAGTTCWTTTTTSTTGGACAACGTTTGTGTAATTAGGTGTATATATTTATTCACCATTCAAATACTTTACAAAATGATTGCRAACCTGTTCCTAGCATTCCCAGTTCCTCAAGGTATTGCAGGCAGTGGTTTACAGTCTTTACTAGGTATTGAAGATGAAACCACAAATCCTCTTGAGGTGAGAACATCAATTTATTACCCTGCTGTTCAAAACTCAGTCACACCATATCTAGAGATTTGAAGTGACAATTARTTCTTGTGATTTTCTRAAGGATGAAGGAAAAGAAGATCTTGTCGACCCAAACTCATCAAATCCATATCAAATCACTATTGAAGAATATTTTAATCCAATATCAGGAAAAGAGAGTAAAGGTTTGTAAATTGGACTGAGTCGAATGYATGAGCCACTGAAAGCATAATATGATATATAGATTAGAAACAAAATCAAAAGAAAAATAAGGACAACTTGTATCCGAGGGCCATAACTTTTGTGACTATGTTTCTTTTTGACAATTAAGATCTGTTGTTGAAAGTTGCTTTCCAGTTGGTTCAAAATCTATCCAACAGGCTTTGTGCAATGATAATCCTAATAAAGAAATCAACAAAAAAGCTAGAACAGTACAAACTATAAACAGATTATGTGATATAAACAGATTAAATCTAATCGCYCGTTAATTTTCCAATTAAGATAGCAATTTCCCATATGGGAAAATCCTGCATAGATTCTTGCATAGATTCTTGTCAAAATTTGTTTATTTGTCTAGATATTGGGCGGTTAAAAGAGATGTCAACAAAAAAGCAGAAATTCAGAGCAACTATCTCGATGGCTGACTCCTACCCACTATCATTACAAGAGCAAGTGCTACCCATCATTAAACTTTTGGTAAATAGATGTATTTTTTTCTGTTGTTTTCTTATCTTTCTTACTACCAATTACATTACCGGGACATGGTAGGTTCTCTCGGAACAATTTCTCTGATTGGCTGTGTGGTACTTAAAAGAACAATGACACTTTTTGTCTCCGAGAGGTGGAAGCCTACCCACATTTCCACGGGGGCAGATCGAACCAACGCACCCTCCGTAATCCCAGGCCTTGACAAATTTGTGTAACCACCCTTTCCTTCGTTTGCTTATTCAAAATTTAATTTGCATTTATTTTGTAAATTTCCTTTACAATRATAGTTGCTTTTCTTTATTCTTAGGCAATAAGTAATGCTCACTTTGCAAAGCTGAGAGATTTCATCGCACTACATCTTCCTACAGGATTTCCTGTAAAAATAGGTAACTGAAATAACACTTATGAGATCGTTAATGAAAAAGAAGAAAAGAAAAAAATAACATTTAATAAGATAGCACTTCCTTGGGAGCTCTGGGATAATTTTCTGATAATATTTCTGTCCTATTCTGCATAACTTTATAAGCAAGTCAGTAAAGGCACAATACAAAAAGGGCATCTCCGTTTTGGGTTTGGTGTTAGATAACTGCGTGCATMAACTGTATTTCAAATTATTTTAAACGGAAGCAAAAACAAACAATTGCGCCAAAATGTAAAATAAAAGATACTTAAAAGATACGTAATTGCAAAACTATACAAAATGGCCTTAAAACGAATCTTAAAAACGACCATCGCAATATTGTCTCTTTTTTCAGTTMGAAATTTTCATTTCAGAAATACCCCTTTTCCATGTTTTGAATGCTAAAATCACCTTTGGCAACATCAATTCAAGGGATAACGAAGTGCTTGGCGTTGAGCAAGCAACCTCCAGCCAGGAAGAGCTCTCGACGGAAAAGTCAGAACCAGAAATTGAGCAACCTGTGAAGCTGTGTAACATTGAATCGTCATGCTTTGAAATTCCCACAGGATACAGACTACTTAGAGTCGGGGAACAACCAGGTATGAGGTAATTCTGTTATTTTTMTGYCACTGCTGTTGTCGTTGACTTTTGACTTGTTTCCATTGAACAGCTCCAACATTGCGTGATGAAGAAGACGAATTGTTACAGCTTGCAATCCAACAAAGTTTGTTAGAATATGGCGGAATTAACCCAGAAGATAGGGAAGGCGTGGAAAACAATGATGAAGATGATGAAATGCTTCAAAGGTTCGAAACTAAGAATTGTAAAAACAGGTCCTGTTTATATGCAACATTTGGGCCACCCCTACAAGTATTTTTTGACACTCCAGTACTTATGTGTCTGGTAGAATTGCTGATTTTCAGCTTACGTCCAACGGCCATCTTGGAGGTACTTCAAGAAAGGATTTCTCATTATTAGTATGGCCGAAGTTCTTTAATTTGTTGTTTGAATCTCATGGGAAGTGATTAAAAACCTGCATGGCTGCTCTTTAAGGCCCGTTTACACTTTTTCGCCGCGACAAAATTGCAAGCGTCAACGGGACTTTAGACAGTTAACCCATTTACRGGTCGTATTTTGCTTCATTTTTTCTCTCCTTTCTCCAAAATGCCCGCATTTCCCCCCTCTTTTTCAAAACAAAATGATCCCTAACAATGAAATATTCATTGAATGTGCATTGAATTTTGAAGGGCAATAAGAGAAAGCATGAAAGATTATGGGACAGCAGAGGGCTCATCTGAAACTCCTCCAAGCGAATCCCAGGGGAATTTAGAAAGCGAAGACGAACAACTTCAACTGGTTTTAGCAATGTCGAAACGACAAGAAACAGAAGAAGAAGCGAGAAGAAGGCAAGAGGAAGAGGAACTTGAACGCGTATTACAGCTATCGTTGATCGAGAAGTGAAAATCCTAAAGCTACTATTTTATTGATTTAAATGGTTTTATTTTTGTTGCTGTTGGCTTAAAAGATGTAATTAGACACATGAATAAAATTTTAAAGATCTCAACCTTCAGAGTTCATTTATAGAGTACAAACACTAAAACTGTGCAACATAAATTACCACAAACACTGCTAAATTATGCTAATTCTATTGTTTTCTATTGTTTAATTAACACTAATTTGTAGTAAATAGTGGAAAGTGTTGCACACATTTAATGTTTGTACTCTAGCTGGGGCTGTAAAAAGCCCCGGGAAAAAAGACTCTTTAGTGCGTTTTCAAACACAAATTGTCTTTTCACGAATGACTGAGCTTTATGGCTTATGCACGGCGCCTCGTCTTGATTCCTTTGTGTGTGTGGTCGCAAGTCGGCTATTCAAATCACTTATTAGTCGGGCTGGCCATAGGCTAGGCCGACTTTAGTTTTACCTTTTTTTCATGCATAAATCAGCTCTAGCAAATTGAATGGCTTGGGTTGCCTGTGCTACATCAGCGGTATTTACCCATTTTGGCGCCATTTTTAAGCGCGCGTTGCGAGTGTTCTCCATTTTGTTTTGGTTGCAAGTTTCGTTGCAAATACAACATAACAGGGGATAACAGGGCTGGTAGTTATGTATATCTTGTTTTTTTCCTTTTAAAACAAGGTAAGTATCTTGCATCTATTTCTTGATATAAAYATACAGACCATACATATTTCTTGAGTCAAGTCAGCGAATAGATAGACTAAGGTCACTAAGTAAACGTCGTAGAGCGTGATCGATGTGTTATTTGATTTGTCCTGTTGCAAGGATTCAAATCGCGAAAATGTAGTGATCTCTTTATTGTCCAGAGCTAGTTTACCGGAGAAAACCTATTTTGAGATTTGAATCATTCCCGTGGGACTCAAAAGACAAAAGATCGTCTGCCTGAGGCTGAGGCTATATAATATATGACTTTGGTTTTAATATTTGAACGACTGCTGAAAGTGTGAAGTTTTATTTTAAACTTCCAAACTTCTTCCGACTTTTCCAACAGGTTTCGGGAAAAAGTGAAAAGATACAGAGCTTTAAACCTTTAAAGTCATCAGTTTTGCAAAGAAACAAAATGACTGCATTTTTATCAAATTTCCTAATGTTGATCATGAGGTGCCTCTTTATATTCAGAAGATTTTTCTCATGTTAGCCCCTTTCACATCCAAGATACAGGACACGAGCTAGTTTTGACAAACAAATTTAATGGCCATAATGTTGTGAACGATTTCTCTCCATGAATTGTTTGATCCGGTGTACTACATTTAAAAACAAACAAAGCAAAATGTAGATTTAATTTTTATTGTGAACTAAAACTTGCTAAAATTTAACTTACAAATAAGATTATAAGATCTTTAGTTTATTTAAATGTAAGCTTAAATTAATTGCTTGCAAAAAATCATTCACGATGCAATTTAATTGCCATTTAATCTAAATCAACAAAAACCTGATGTAAGGATACAAAAACTAACTTATAATATTGATTTGATTTGATCAGGGAAAAGTATGTAATAAATAATAGTTCGTATAATAAACGCAGGCATTGTTTGTACTAAGGGTTTGTTTCATGATCTTTTAATTTTACAATAAAATAAAGCAATCTAAAGAAATCAGTTATAGATATTTAAGTGCAAAATCAAAAATCATTAACATGGGAACTCAAATGTGCTTCTTTAGATACATTTCATGTGACTATAAACAATGTATTATTGTTTATGTATTGGCTAATTGAAACTATAGCATGTAACCCATTTTCTAAGCTCAATCCAGGGGGCTGTCGTTAGTAACATAAAATGAAATAAAAGTTGATAACACCTAGGAAATACTACTTTTCCCAGAAGTCTTATGGAATCCTGCTTTCAATTTACTTATGTATTATCCTAGACATAGTATAAACTATATCCTTGATAACCTGTTGATCTAATCCATCTTATGTATTATTAATTTAAATTCYATAGGCTATATACATGTATATTGCCAACAATATTAACAAAGCTTGTATTATATATATTCCTGGTAACATGATCGATAGATAGTATAAACACGATGTTGGTGTCAACTTTTCAAGTTTGAAAATACAAGCTTTTTATATAATAAATGTCATATTGCTATAGTTGGAGTTTTTTCATACTATTTTAGAACCAATTTGATTCTTAATAATTATGTGAGTTTGTGTGATACAAGCTTATGCATAAGAAACAAAAACTCTCCTTCTTAGAGTATTTACATTATTTAGCTTGTATAGTAATAGAGTAAGAAAAACAGTCAAAATTCATTGACATTATTTTGTTAAAGGCCCTYGTGCACCCAAGAACATTTGCATGATTTTCTAACATATATGTAAAATGGCAATCCTTGATTCAGAACCAATCAGAAAGCATCATTGTAATACAGATCATTTGTAAAGTAATGTAAATGAATGCAAATGTTCTGGGGTGTAAGTGGGCCTAGTTAGGAAATTGAAATTGACAGGGTCAGTCCCAGCCACTCTCAAATAAAGTCTAGCTATATACGTTGAATATAGATACTGCATTAATACTATTATTATATTAAAGTACTACTAACATTAGAATTTGGTCATTATAAGAAAATACAACAATAACAGTGGGAATATGCATAAAATTCCACATATTCTGAGAATGACTGCAAAATAATACTATGATATCATATTTGAAGTTAAGTATTATATTAAAACTATACCTATATAAATTAATGTAAAACCAGTTAAGAGAAAATTCAGAGTGTACGGATTGAACAGTGAAAACTAGTAATACTATAAAATACTTCTTGATCTTTTTAAAAATTGTTCCTCAAATTCACAAATAATTTTTTTTAAATTTATTAATCAAAAACCTGAATCAGCAGATTTTTGTTATATAACCATGTAATATTCATGGATCTGAGAAACATTAGACCTATGAACTACCTGAATGCTTGGTCATATCCCAGATGATTGCAGATGCAATGCTGCATTGTTTAATGCYGATATACGTCGTTGTCATTTTCTTGGTTTCTAGACTGTTGTGTCATTATCTCCTCTAGTCACCATAGCTGTTTGGTTCATAGGAATAATAGGATTAGATAACTATATGTAACTGTCATTTTATTTATTTCACCCATTTTATATCATTCAGGCAATKTTTGTGATACATTTAGAAACCACATATATGTTCACATTTTCCAACTGTCTTGACATTTAAATAAAGGATTCATATGTCCCAAATAAAAATTGGGACAATTACTTTTGACAATGCAAGAAGGTTAATATTAAGCTTGGTCACTCCTTCACAATTCTGTTGAATTTTTAACATGCATATAGGCACATTATAAGGATCTTTATTCAAATGACAGCTTTGACAGAAATCCTAAATATACTGCACTGATATACGTCTATAAGTCTGATATTTTTCTCATGRGGATGCTATTTTTGATTAGAAACTTGATATTTAGGTGCGGCTATCAGTTGTGAGAGCCTGGCACATTGTGTGCTAAGAATTTCTGATAAATATTGGAAATCATATCAAAAATGCTTTTGAAAAAGACTGACTTGATAAAAATGCCAAATCCGTTATAAATATGGTGTTGTTAATTTTCGGAAAAACTGATACATAGTTAGACTAGCGCAGCAAACGTTGTAGTATAAGTAGAAAAGGGGAATTATATAGTTTACAGTTCAAAATAATGTTTTATGGAGACAGCCAAAGTTCCAAAATTGTACTAAACTACAATCAATATTATTATTTGAATGTTGTTTTTTTTTACATGCAAGCCATACAATCTCACAAATCCTTCAAATACAAGAAAACAACTACTGCTGCAGTATTGTGGCTTACTTTGATTTTCGTTTGCGTTCCTGTCCATAGAAGGTGCTCGTCCACAGCAAGAGTGTTTGATGGTATAGATAAATCCATTCTTCTTGACATACAATGTTGCATCAAAAACCARAACAAATACTGCAAAAAATCCAACTAATGCCATTCCAACTAAGTAGGGTAGTTGAGGAGATGWCTTTGGTGCTAGAATGTTAGATAGAAATAATATTTGTCAATACAAACTATTGTAGTTAACAGGTAAAGTCTTTAGTCTTAAGAAGGGATAGCTGTTTGATTGCCATTGTCGTTTTTCATTTTCATTGTTTTCTTATCCTTTTACTTATTTATTATATATCAAACAACAGTAGGTTGGAGGTGAATTTTGATCATTCTAAACACAAGTACTTTGTTTCTTACCATCTTTACCTGTAATCTGTCCACTTTCTGGAGTGGCWTGGGGTTCRCAGTCTCCAGTTAAACATCTACATGTGCAATCGTCTATAATCATGTCACTACCACATTTTATGGCGCATTGTTCTCCACACTTTGTATGATTTTTAACATATAAAGCAGTCTTAATRCCATCCTGATTTAAAACATCCACCAAGACATCATGCTCTTGTGTTACAGTACAAGTCTTCACATTTGGTGATATTTTGTTGAATGTACCAGAGCATCGGTATAGTACAATGTGATATGGCTTGTACTTGTGGTTCTCATCTATGGGAACAACTGTCGGTCGAGGCCGGCAATCTGCTTCATTAAACTTTTCAGCCTTTGTGATCAAACATAATCCTACAAGTGCATTTATCAACAATTAATAAAATATTCCATCACTGTACCTGTACAATAACTTTGTAACATAAAAAAAATTGGTATAAACTTTCAGGTTTTGTAACTTCAGRGAAATAGCAACCAGATTACTAGGCATTTGTTGTATGTGTGGCATTAATTCCTTATTCTTTCTTCTGCTTATTGCAAATATATATACAATAATACATTAATATTTAATGTAAAGAGTTTGAGAAGTTTATATGAATACATCTATTTCAGAAAACATGAGTACTGAATAATGTATTCTAAAGCATTTTTTCGTGTTTGTTGCTTTACTGCTAAAAGGAGGTTTCAGTAGGGTAAAAAGCAAGTTAGTTTATAACTTGTTTGTAACTCTTCTTACWTGGAGTTGATTTTGGTTTTGACTACTCAATGTTTTTATTTTTAAATAGCAGTATTTAGAAATGAGAGTAACATTTTAAATTACAAACTTTTTTGTATTAGTTTTGTTTTCAATAAATGTGTTTTACTTTGAAGTAATATATTAAGGAGAACAATTCAAGTTACATGATTAAATGAGACATAACTTCGAATTAAAAAAATGTACTTAAGTACTGATATTAAAACTTGCTCTAATTGAATCGATCCAAATGTATCGAAGAATAAATCAAACGTGGGCTATAAAGTAAACTTTACAGTTCAAACTGAACAGAACTGAACAGTTCAAAACGTTTCGATTAATATTAGGAAATCTGCATAAGTTCTTGGTATGTTTGAATGACAAATAATTAAGTTTGGAAAACAGGATGTAGATTCTTGCAATTGATCATTGTAGCGTAAGATCGCAATGAATTATTAAAATAAAACTCATAGTTTTATTAATATTAATTTTTAGTAGCATTTCGACGCCTTCGATAAAACATCAAATATATAAAGAGGGCAGATCCAAACAATAATAAAAGATGTCATTTAAGAATGCCAGGTATTCTACAAATACGTGCGAAATAGTAAAATTCACTTCATTACTCTCGAGTTGTGACATTACTATATATCACGAACTTTTCTTTTTTAACCTAGATTTATATTTCATTCATTCTAAAAGAAAACAAAGTTAGGATACTGAGGATTACGAGAACAAAGAGAATAGATCACAAGTGCGTTGAATGCATTGCATGCACAAAAGAACTTCCACCATAATTACAATAGTTTGTAGGCTGATATAGTTTTCGTTTCTAACACAGATGTTGAGGTGTTAAAAACATATTCACTTAATGATCTATTAGTTCTATTTGAACACGACAAACTGTTAAAGTTTCATTGAATTGTTATCATTGACTTGAAGGAACTGTAGCCGTAGTTACAAGAGACAAAATAAGGGTAAATAACATACCTAATAAGAGAATAATCAATGTGTACATCTTGAGCGGAGCGGTGGAGGTCTGTTGCTTCATTRTCGCCATTATGCTGCGGTATCTACAGTCTAAATCCCAGTGAGTACTTGCTGCAAGGAAAGATTTTGAAATCCTGTGAGGACGTARCTCAAAGTTATGTCAACATCCATGTGGAAAGACTATAGGGTTCACGCCTCTGTCAGAGAATCGACCAATCACAGACGGAATACCTTACGTCTATTTCCGGTTCGTTTACGTAACGTAATCGTGAGAACGTTTTTGAATCGCACCGGAGCACAAGTAAAACAACTGCTACTAGTAGGAATTCTAATGTCACGACTTGGTGTGTTTTCAAAGTCAAAWAGAATGTTTGATCAAAAAACACTGGGAGTCGTTAGGGCGAGAGAAGCTTTTAAATTTTTAATGAACCACGTATGGCCATGAATAAAAAAGGCGAAGAATGGAAGAAACTAATCTCAACTCTAACGAACTACTTGAAAACTTACCACCCAGGGCTATTCACAGTGAGAAAATAGCTTATCAAGCTCAGAGGAAAACCCTGGGTGAAATCCTGTACTTCAAAAATTGATCAAAAGTACTCGCATTGGTGTAAGTTTTAATCGAATWTCCAAGTGTCCCGTGATAAATTGCCACATTACATCTCGATGGAGCAATGATTGATCTAATTAACACGTGTTGGTATTACGTACACTATGACGTTCGTGCCTACTATAAATTAAACCCCGCTTCATAACCACAACAATTTGTTTTCTATTTACAGCCAAGTGGTTGAATTATAGACCTGACTTACAAGACTAATATTTCCTGGTTCTGAAGGGCTGAGAATATGGTGTATGGAAGATAACGCGCGCAAACTACACCCTAAAAATCAGACGGTGAATATTTGATTTCCTAGACCCATCCGTTCTACACTGCATTTAATTTCCCTGTATTCTACGCGTCGATAATTCCGTTAAGCTGCACACAGGCTAGTCACTTCACTTAATTTGCAAAACTTTTTTCTATGATATTTGTAATATTTCGACGTAAAATCAAACTAAAATCAAACTTCTTTTCAATAATATTAAGTACTGACCAATCAATAGATTAGTAAAAATAGTATTCTTTGCTATGTATCTTATTATTAGCAGCAATAAGGTTATTATTKTTTTAGCTACATAAATACTAGGCCATTAGTAGAAGTCAACCGGCTTGAATTAAAAGAACAGATGTACAAGTATCCATATGCAACGTTGTACATTGTTACATCACTTTTATCATTAATTCTCTCATCACTGAGTTGGCAGTCTTTCAAAAAGACTGCGACATGTGATATTATATCAACAGCTGAATAACACAGTTAAGGCCGACTATAAATAAAAACKTGTTAATAACTACTTTGGCTAATATATTTCATACGGAACGTTCCGCACTTATGATCACTACTACTTCATGCCCCCTTACATGTTTCTTTCTCCTTACCTTAATGGTCCTTAGTGACTTTTTAAGTAAATCTCGTTATGTTGGCGGTGCTCGATCTTTGAATGGGGTTAGCACTTATTAGATATATAGCCATCTAATGAAAAGAAGGTATGTCAAAAATGTTGGGTAGCATGTAACGCCTAAGCGGTTTCCTGAATCACCGCGTGGTTGCTCATATATTATATCTGCTTGCAAACTTGCGTTATTAATAAAAGGTCACTTAGTATCAGACGCACACGTGAGGTAACACAGCAGACGAAACCAAATCTGATATGGAAGTGGGATATTTTAGGCGCATTTTGACGTCATTGCGGAAGAAGTCATTTCACACGATAGAGCTATGTCCGGTTTTATGATTATACCCATCTCACAAAGACCATTKCRAATTAGGTTTGATGTAAAACTTTTAGTATTAAAAACATGTGTACATTGACTAAAGCATGTGCAAGGTATTCATATATTCTGAGTAATCTCAAACTTTGCGCAATCATACCCCTTACTTGTCCGCAACYTAGAAAAAAGAGACGTCATATGTTAATGTGACGTCRCATAACTTAAGTGAGCCGSAACAGCATTCGAAAAGGTCTCGATCTTTCCCGACGTGACGACGGGGAGTGACRAAGCGACGTCGGAAAAAAGGTCTGCATCTCCTCCTTGCCGTGCCTTTTCAGTCTTTTTCATTTTTATTCATGTTATTTTTATGCTCTTCGTGTTTTATTTCGCATGCTATGTACGCTATGTAATCCTTCAACTATTCGTGGTATACGTTTGTCACTTAAAAGTTCCTTTATTTGGAAAGAATATGAAGCATTGTTTGTTAAGTGCCATAAAACAATCATTACAGTAGGCGGTATATAGGGGCTCATTCACGCGTTGAACTTATATCGCTATGTTACCTTTCTATTATTTCCGATAGCTTTTTATAATTCTTTCCGATAGTTATGTACTATCATCTTCGATAGCAAGTGAGTGCACTTTCTTTCTAAGTCTCATTAACACTTACTTAAGACCCTTCCACGTTTTTATTGATTTCAATGTCATGAGAGCTTTGATAGTAGTATATTTCTAGAGTATATTCTAGAGTATTCCTTTAAAATCGCAGTTTTAAGATACCAGAAAAGAAGCGAAGGTTAAACATTGTAGTTGAACAATTATAGATCAGTTCAGTTATATTGTACGACGAGTCATTGTTGTTTTGACATGYCAAGAGTACATTGCAAGTTCTGAAATTTGTAAATGGCACTGAAAACCATAGCTATAGTCAGAGGGAGACTAATCAAAACAYACTTCATAGAGAGACGCATTATCATCATAATTATCACTAGTTATTTTAACAAAATGTTATTCATACAATGTACGAGTCATAACCACAACTAACAATGTATTAATTTATWGTAGTAGTTTCCATTAACACGTGAAATTAAGTGTAATAGTCCAAGTTTAATAAACCATTCTAATTAATAGCAATAACTGTAAAATGCTTCTCAAAACAGCAGGTTCGCGTTAAGTATTTTGTTTAATCCGGAGTCGTACAATAATTGAACAATTGATTGTTTGCTGAGCCTGGGTGGACCACTCCCTTTCTCCCTGTTTACATTCTTTACATTTAATTGCATGGGAAACGCTGTAATCAAAACAAATCCGGATGATCATAAAGATTCGAATTAATTAGCTTATTACGGCTATTAGCACTAAATCATATCGATATCTTTAYCAAAACCTTTTAGGGTGAGTGGGACCTGGCTCAGAGAAATAGTGTTATTATTTTAAGCCTCATACAATTGCAGTTTGAAACTGGTACATATGCATGGTTTTGGAGGGTGTGTCTCGTGATAACCTTGACTAGAAATATGTGCCAGAAAAATCTGAGTTTGAAAGAAGCATGAAGCACTTTCTTTTTCTTTTTTTGAAGGTTTGGGAGACGTTATTTTTTTTTCTTTCTCTCATAGTAAAATATAGTCTTTTCTTCTCTAAGAAGAATACGGTGTCATTTATCGTACTTCGTTCCTATAAGCAAGCTGCGAATCAATACTAAATACACGCCTAATTGTACAAAGCCACAGATAACGAAAGAACAAACGKTAGAAAATAAAGATTTTCAGATAGGAATTTACTACTTTTGTCTTGATGATTGTCGATCCTGYATATTTGCATCTAGGCGCACTACTTTTAAGTCAAACATAAACATGTTTATTACTTATAACTAGCAAGGCTTTCTGTGCGGGTTCCTGTGCATTTTATAGGGAAACTATCACCATTACATTTCGAGTTCAAGCGACAGTTATCCTGAGAGCYCAGGRACAGATTTACCGGAATTTCGCAAAAGAAATCGCAAACAATAGTTTATTCCCACTATTAAAAGGAAGAGAGCCAAAAATATATCCCGTCTTGGTGGCTCTGTAAACACCAATAATGAAATAGGTGTGTACATCGATGGAAAAATGTTGCATCTGTATTACGTATATTGGACATACCGTCTGGCCTAAATATAACCACCACAACAATAAATTRCCCGTATATGGGCTACTAAAACTGTGCAAAACAAATATTATATATTATGTGTACCTTGCTGTTGTGCTGAATAATTGTTTGTGGTTTTAGGAATATTGTAATTGTTTGATGATCGATTAGTGGTTGGAAAACACTGATGAGGGCTCAAGATAAGAAAAAGGCGGTGGTGAAATTGTGGTGAGTTTTTGTTATCCCTTAAATTAGCTCAAACCGTCGTTGGCGTTCAATAGCTATTTYATGAATCACCAACATTAATATGTATATATCAACATTGATGTGTATTTGCGAGGGCTCCTTTATTCAGTGCTAATAAAAGTATTAAGGGGTATTAAAATGCGATGAAACAGTTCGATACTGAATCAGCCACTTTTGCTATGAATTTCTCTGTCAATAATTAACAAATTTGAGACGATTTGATTTGCGTGAGTCGTGCATTTTGAAGGGTTTTTTTTACTGAATCACACACACTCAAAATGAATTTCTCTACCAATTGTGGTAGGCTTTGAAGATTTTTTCCTAATTCGGGAGCCACTTTTGCTATGAATTTCTGCACCAGTTATCAACAAAATTTGAGACGAATTGATTTACGTGAGACGTGCATTTTTACTAAAGACACTTTGCGCAATGCCACTTCATGGTTATAACTAAACGATAACGAGCGATGAGCACAAAATTAATCCACRGCATTATTTGAGAAACTCCTGATTTCTGACAAATACTATACACTACCAGTTTAATACCGCAAAAGTAAAAGAACACTTCAATAATATATTTACACACAGAGGTCATTATACTTTACTAGTTTACATTAGCAGTACCATGTTATCCATTTATTCCTAGCCTGTATTAAATTCATAACAAACAGAGGTTGTTTGTGTGGATAAAGTTATCCACTCAATAGAGTTTGCCATGGATTTYATCTGCTGGGTAAATKTATGTGGCAGRTAGCACTACTCAAACTGTACAACASGTTCGAGAGGACTAAAAAGATCCTGGCCTTGATGGGTGCGGTTACAAAAAGCTTCATCAATCTAGTCTGSTATTCCATAGTACAATGCAGACGTCTTGAATAATCTCCCGCTGATGTTTGAGGATTTCTGGCTTCAWTAAACTCGAAATGAATATATCCCGTTGTAAATTTTTAATTTGTTTGCCGGCAGCGTGGCATTTTTGAGTTAAATATAACTAAAAATACATACTAAGCAGCGTGGATCAAAGCGACTTACGATTGTAGTTTTAAATTTAAGCTACTAAATGCCCAATAAAAATAACTAACAAAAGCTTATCCAAATTATACTTATACATTTTTTTTCGCTTTAATGGTTGGTTGGTGTTATAACTTAAGGGTGACCCGTTCGGTATAGTATGCTTTTCTTGAGCGATCAAATCGTCTAAATAAAAACGAAAAATACCATTTAAGACTATATATTTACAAACTATTTAATAACAGTACTTAATAACTAAAAACAAGCAATCCATCTTACCGTAACTTAGAGAATTGAACGCTGAAATCTMCGTAGGGATATAGGTTAAAGGGTTTGGTAGGTATGATCGAGGAAGTGTAAATCAAACATGGACTACGAGCCGCGGGTACAAGTGTTTTCAGTTTAACATTGCTCAGTCAAAGCCAGTTGACTGACAAGTTCGCCAACGCAGCTAGTCAAACTTGTCATTTTGACCAGGTGTTTCCAAAAGTTATTATTTTGATGGTTAACCCTTGATGCGTCACGGGTTATAATTCATATTTCCCAATACTTTCGAGATGAATTTYCCGTACTCTTTCTCACTGCTCTTCCTGTGTTCGTAATATAAGTAGTTTTATTCATATCATCTTACAATTTATTTGCCCACCATGTTTTAAAATCTATCATTATATTGAGAAACCAAAAATATTAGATCACTGATATATATTTTACGCTAAGCCTTAAGGAAAAAAGGGGAACGAAGACAAAGGGAGAAGAAGACAGATTTTCACTGGAAAAAATCGCGCGCCATAAAGGTTGTAAATTGGATGTAAATATGATGTAAGTGTCCAAAATGAGTGTAAATTTGATGGAAATGATTTACATCAAATTTACATCAGTTTGGACACTTACATCATATATACATCAAATGTACAACCTTTAAAGCGCGCGATTTTTTCCAGCAGCGTTTTCGATATCAGAGCAAACGTTATTGCCAGCAGTGGGCATACCTTTCGTGACTCCGTAGCGTTAGTATTAACAAATACTCCATCTGAAACTCACTGTTAATATTTGGTTATAATGTTTCAAATAATATGAGCGTAAAATGGTAGTTCGTATGTTAATGAATCGGCTCCGAGACCGCGATGCATGCTGGTTACCTATGACCTCCAAATACACCGATGTATATTTAGATGTCTCAGTATAAATTACAAACTTTCCTCATTCGGTTCAACCTTACAGAAAATAATAGAAGTAGAAWATAATAACTCACCCGATATAATGAATTATACAAAGTACCCACGGACGATCGCGTCTTACAAACACTGACTTCCTAAATCACCTCAGTGTCACCTGCATGTTGCTCCAGTGATGTAGTGCTAGTCTGCTAGCTTTATTATTATATCTCATCAGAATAAATAAATCAAGCAAATGGACTAAACGAGAGACATTAAACAAGCGGAAATCATTAAACTCAACATCATATTATAAATCTTTTTGGTTTTGCAGTCACCACTGACTACTCAAGTACTTTAACATGAATATTTTCGGTTTATCATTTATTTTGTAATTTATTCTACTTTGTTAAACTTTTTAAGAAATTCGAAAATCTCGAAGCATCAAAAAACGAGTAGATGGTATAAATACTTAAATTTCGACTTGATTTAAGTCATCATTAGAGTAAAGAGTAACCAAGGAACAAAACTATAGTGAAAAGTCAAAATGACAGCCTCTATAGAGGCTTTGAGGCCCGTGTTCAGAATAWATAGAATAAATTCAGTGAATTCAATGGATTGCCGGTTTCCATAGAAACGGTCTGCAGTTTCTGTTGTCGATSGTTGATTTTCATCAAGTTGTTGTTTTTTGCATTCATCCAATTTTTATAGAATGAGTTAAGGAAACTTCTGTGTTGTTCTTTAAACAACAYATCAAATATTAGGCAAAAATTTGCGTTTGTTTGTTAGTCTGTTCAGTGAATTTGTATTTTACAGTGTTGGTTTGGTTTCTTATAAATCAGTGTGTAGTGACAAAAAATGGTCACTAGACACACGCATCTTTAKGTATGTTTATTCAGTTTTAATGAAAAAGGGATATTAAACAAACAGAATGTAAGGCAGAATACTACAGATATGAAAAACATGTACATTCCAGTTTATTTCAATATGATTTTTATTGCTTTTTTTACTTTCACGTAACTTGAATCACTGACTTTCTTGATTTAAATATTTACAACCTTGATTCTTTCWCTATCATTGTCTTTTTCGTAGTTAATAGATTAACATACTTTTTTGAACGTCTCAAAGCGGAAAAGTCTTCATCTCAGCCTCAGAAAACCTCATCTTTGGAAAATCGTTAAGCGTCTATGTTTTCTGGACTTGTGTAGTTCGGCATGTGATGAGGAATTCATGTCACGGCGGGACTAGACGATCACTCTAAACAACTTGGTGAAGTGAACGTGCATCGTTGATACGTTAGAAAACAAACGCCTTTCATTACACCTGCTCAGCACACTCCTTTGTCGAGACCGAAGAAAATTCTGTAGCATTGTCTTTTCCTATGTTAGTTTCTACTGCTTTTACATCTTTTGAACTTCCTGGAAATAGAATGATACATTTTATTGAAATACAGAATTGAAAACCCGTATTCGTAAAGTTATATGATTATAAGATATGATTTTTTTCATTCAGTTTTTTTTTCTTTTTTCGTTCGTTTGTTCATTTAGGAACTCGGGAGTAAACGTTTTGCTCCTCTTTTCCCGATGATGCACCAAGATCACACTTTAGTCGGTTTTCACAGAGAAAAGTTTTAGCCTAAGACCCTCTTACAACTTTAAGCAAACTCTGAATTTTTATTTTACCTTTGCATTTCAATCTCTGAATGATACTGTATGTGAATCCAGCTTTCCATCGGCATAAAATAGCGTCAAATATGATGCACAACAGGAGAAATTCGCCAGCCATCAAGAAGAAAGTAAACTTAGAGAATTTTGGATTGTCTGTTAGAAAAGGAAACAATAAATTAAATTCCATGCAAAAACTGTCGTTTTATAATTCTAGTGAAAATACTGAAACAAGCACTACAAATATAATGACTTCTGGTGTAAGATCTAGGACAGATCTAGGGGAGGTGTACTGCATGGCGCAAGTGCACCATTCTTGACTCAAAAGAACTTTTTTTTATACAAAAACATTTCAATTGTAACTTAATCAAAAAATTTAAGAATTGGTAGCGACATGTTGTTCAGTTATAGACTAAAGCCTAAACCCTCTTGTACAGATGCCTTGTAAAGCCTATCAAACAGATCTTGGGCTTCCCGTACCTTTGCCCACTTCACTACAAATAGATAATTTTGTTTTTACTCAGACCATTACTAACGTAAAACCATCTTTTTACCTTGTGGCTTTTCGCCTGTATTTGCGCCTACTTCAACATCCGTGCATTTACACTTGTCGTTTACTCTGAGGCCGAGGCTTTTACACTGGGCTATCTTATCACGTGTACAAGAACATCCGCATTGTCTTGAATCCCAAATCTGGAAATAAAAAATAGATGTGAATTACTACTGGGTAATACAATTTTATGTCAATGCGTTGTTTTAGTATACTGTGTATTCGCACCACTGAACTCAATCATTCTTTATTCAAAAGGCACGTTTACTTAGTAGGTGTTGAGGCACCGGGAATAAAGGAAGAAAAAACGAACAATAAACTATTTTAATGCATCTTAATTGAAAGTTATACTGAACTTAGTGTGAAAGATTCGGTGAGATAAATGAGTCGATATCAGACATTTAATTATGTTTTTCGATTTTTTGTTATCTCTTACCTTCYCAACGGGGCACACTTYTGGAGGCTTATGGCACACACATGCGCACTCTGTTCCGCTCCAACGGAATCCARCAGGACAAGGCTCAGGGGGTGTATTATGGTATTTGCATCTACACTCACACGAATCTTTGTTATAAACTTGTGCTTTTGAACAGTCACTTGGTTTAGTCACACACTCACAACCGCATCTGGTGTGATTCAGTAATGTCATGAGTTTCATTTTGTTGCCTCTAACATCAAACACGTGCCTTGTAACGTTCTTTGCTTCTAGTACCACACACTTCTGGATAGTAGGTGGGGCATGTCCACATGAACCCCCACAACGGTGTAGTTTAATGATGTACGGGTAGAAYTGATAGTTRGGTCGGTCAATAGAGACTAGGGTTGGATGCGGTCTGCACTKCTCACCTGWGTCGAATAGTCCATCTGCAACACAGAACAAACATTTTAAAATCAAAAGGAAATCACTAKTATTTTTAATCACTAGTATTTTTAWGGCGCGGGATAATAGTTTATACAYGAAGAAARAAGAATTGATAAAGAATGATATAAAATACGCAAAACATTCTGATAGATTCTAGTGAATTTTACCCTAGGATTTTACAACGACATGAGCAGTTAGACTGTATTATAAGTCAAGTTATTATTGTCTGTAGTATTGACATCATTACGATCTTTGATGACATGTGGTATGTTCATAAGTGTCATCCTGTCGTCTCTATAAGCATATCGTCACAATAAAGTACCACTTGACATGCTTGAAACACCATCTAGCGGACCCTCTGTATTCACCGTTATGCCACATGCCGGTACAAACACACACTTAGCAAAATCTTCAACGGTAAMWTTAATACAATTTCACAGAATTATTTAAGGAACTCTAATTGTTTTGTTTCCAAGAATATCGATATATATATACTTCCGCATCTCTTACTTCCCGGATGTACGTGCTCTATTGTTTGGTTGATAGCTTGTACTTCCCGTATTGGAACGTTTCAGCTAGTTTTATAAACTGATAATCGTTTGCGTTTCATTTCAAACAATCCTTCGATATTTTTTCTTTCACTGAAATAAACTGAATAGTTCATAAAGCTGTGAATTTGTATTTGAAGTTGATCTGATCAGATTGATGGYAAGTGGCATTTCCCTTCTGCAGATTAACAGTAAACAATTAACTAMAGATATTCAAAAACTGCTTCTTTAGGGCATCTAAATTAGCTCCTTATTAGCTCACTTAGTTGCGTGTTGTCGACTTAAAAAAATTTGTTTGTCTTGTTCTGCGGTTTTGATGTTAAATCTTGAATTATTTCTATCATCGATGGAATCTTACAACGGACCAACCTTTTCCGGTAAAACTTGAACAACAAAATGTGTTTCCTTTTAGATTAGTAACTCGAGCATGACTGTGATTTTAGCAAATTAATACYCTGCGAGAAGTTAAAATACGATTTATGTAGTATAGACCATAAAGTGCTTTCTGATATGGTCAAGATAACGAGAGAAAGTGTACTAATAATACAAAAAGAAAACAAGCCGGGAAACTAAACAATGTAAGGTCATGTATGTATGTTTACGGTTTTAATCGAGTGTTGAATGAACWACATTTTTCTGAGTATCTCAACTTCACAATTGAAGGTATCCAATGCATTCAAAATTTTAGGCTGAAAAGGGCTACTTATGCAATAATAGTATAATCGAATAAATATAGCTAATATCTTTCGCGATTCAGCGAAAACGTTTTGTATAATAACCGTCCGTAACATCTACATTGTAAATACTGACCTGAACCGCAGAAGAATGTAAAGGCCAACAATGACAAGCCAAGTAATGCCATGGTGAAAATAGAAAAACTTTTTGAAGAAAGATGAATAAAACTTTGGTTAAGTACTTTAAAAACCACAGATACTAAAATAAAAAAAACAGGATAAGATGAAGCAATATAACCAATATAATTGAGTGTTTAAAAACCAATACTTGCTAATACTTACCTTGAAACTGTAAACAATGTGTTATATTAACTCCCAATAGCTCCCTGTTATGAAACCAATCCTTAGGAAGACCTAATCTTGGTGGTATGGTTGTATGATTTGAGACGTACCATTCAGCTAGACACAATTTATAAAAGTGACAACTATCTGAATCGTGGTTGGCCTGTCATACAGACTACAAGAGGTCACTCCCAATAATGACGTCACAATCATATAGACCTCCTCACGCGTCTACTAAAACAGCAACAACAACGATTCGTCCTTGAAGCACTCTTTACATTGATAATTTAAACACTCAACAAATTACTTGCACTCCCTGATTTTCACTCTAAGAGGTCTAGTTATCCTAAGAGTACTTTGAATTAACATATAGTATATTTACTTTGCGTATTTCACACAGTGTTTTGACAAGTTCCATAGAAACTACCTCATTAACCCTCGGCCCGGAAATACGTCATACAAGTCAATATGTCGTCTTACTTTGCCGCTGTGATGAGATAGTAACCATGCTATCTCAGGAATGTGTTTCTAGAAAGTATGTGTTTGTAGTAGTTTCGGTGGAAATTCTTCGCGTTCTATGCTGAAGGTTTTCTTCCTCAAACTTCTATTAATACGTGACGGCTGGTTAGTTTGCGGTGCGGGGGCTGCGCAACAAGTGGGCCGATTTAATAGTTTCGTTATGACAAGCAATTGTGTGGATCTCGTTTTGTCGATCCGGACACACAGCATTAGTTAAGTCTATTAATTTTGTTGTCGGAAATATTTTGTAAGCATTCCACAATGTCCTTGTATACGATATAAAAGCACAGGGATACCATATGATAAAATGTGAAAAGGGTGTGTGCAATTATAATGAAAACCTTTGAGATAAATGGTCATCGCCAACGCTGATACTTTGTAACTGTCGCCTCTTTTAATGTTTTAACTTTCAGAATGTCTAATTTTCATTTTATCAARACAGGCCRCATTAAGATTAATTACCAAAATTTTGAAATCTTAACTCTCAAAAATGTCATTTCCAGCGTTTTGAGCACTATACAAGACAGATTTACTGCAGACGCTCAGCGATATTATCGATAAAATCATAAAGACTTCRMAAAAAAGCCTCAATTTTAATTATTCACGCTCAGTTTTTACACACTTTTTATAGAATATATATGGTGAAATTTCACTAGCAAGGAGGCTGTTCGCTTCTTTATTTAAGAAAATTCAAAATGGCAGGAAAATTATTGGGAGGGCTACAGCCCCCCAGCCACCCCCCCTCCTCCCCCCCCTGCTCCGCGCTCCCTGTTACGTGCTCACAAACGTTTTTAGTTCTTAATACTCCATTATCTAGTTTCCTTCGCAGCCTCCCCAGTTGTCGGGCTTCCTGTCCCTCCAAGAAGGGGAGGCTGGCCCTAGACGGGAGGATACGATTCATTTTCGGGTTCAAAGTGGATAACTGCTATTTGATATGACAACAGATTCTCTTGCGCAAACACCTTACTGAGAACACACAAAAAAACCCGAAAAACGTTTGTAAATACAATAGTTTAGGCTAACCCCGTGTTTCCAAAAGGCTTAAAGCCACAGTTTTTTAAGAATTACTTTATTTTTAACAACAAGCTTCACTCTAATTGTAATACTAGCGAAAAGAATTTAATTCACATTTACCTGCAGTAAGTACAGAAGTTGCAAAACGTTCTTTTTATTATCAAGGCTCCATGATTTATAATTCTCTTCCAAGTGATTATATTTATATACTATTTTTATACTAGTATAGTTTCCAATATAGATTTTATTGTAGTTTTTTATTATCGATATTATAAATATTTAATTGTCTTTTTATCAATTCATATTGTTATTCCTAATATAATCGTTTTATATATATTCGTTCGTTTACGTATGTAATTATTATTACGTAAGTAATTT